TGAATAGCAAGCTACAATACAGACTGTACAATATCAATAAAGGTGCAGAAAGTGTAAAAGAAGTAAACAGTCAGACTATCTATCTAGTTCTACAATCTATAATCTTGTTGCTTTGTTAGCATGCAGGGTGAGGGTGAGGGTGTAGGTACTAAAACAGGATAAGCACACCAGGCAGGCAGACAGTTAGTTTATAGTGGTAGTTGGTAAAGGTCTAAGGTGTAGATGATGAGTAGTTAAAGCTTGGTGAGGTTGAAGAAGAAAGCATAGCAAAACACCATCACCTGGAAGTAGAGTAAAATATACAAGTTAAAACGTGCAATTATTATGGAGATTATAGCATTTTGCTTATTATCAATTATCAAATTAAAGACAAATACAGTACATATTTTAATAGAATCAAAACACCCTGTAACATAGTATTTCCTGAAATAAATAATGTAACTTTATTAAAACAACCATGGTGATACTACCACACATTTCATGTAAATATACACTTCATAAGAACAAGACCTATTTTTGTAATTGAATTTGAAGAAAAATGCATTACATGTTTAATACATGTGTGATTGTACAGATATAGAAATAGATTTGAAACACCCTGTAACACAGTATTTCCTGAAATAAAATATATAACTTTATTGAAATAGAATTGAAACACCCTGTAACATAGTATTTCCTGAAATAAAAATATTAAAACAAACATGATGTTACTTTATATTATTATTCTCTATATTGATAGAGAATAAAAAACCATAACCTATTTAATTATCCTATTTATACTTCAAAGAAAAGTCAAATCTTGGTTAAAAGCTAGATTTGTCAGTCTTGCCAGCAAAATTAAATCTACTACTGATCTAAAGTAGTCCAGTCCTGGCAGCAGGACTAGAGTAGTCCAGTCCTGGCAGCAGGACTAGAGTAGTCCAGTCCTGGCAGCAGGACTAGAGTAGTCCAGTCCTGGCAGCAGGACTAGAGTAGTCCAGTCCTGGCAGCGGGACTAGAGTAGTCAAGTCCTGGCAGCGGGACTAGAGTAGTCCAGTCCTGGCAGCGGGACTAGAGTAGTCCAGTCCTGGCAGCGGGACTAGAGTAGTCCAGTCCTGGCAGCAGGACTAGAGTTGTCAAGTCACTAATAGTAAAGGGAAATGATTAACATACCCCACTGACTTATCAAGTCCAGCCTAATATAAATAAAATAAAAAAACTGACTAACATTGGTCTGGTATTGTCAAATTTCTAAAATACATCATTTTCCAATCCAGTGGCGGATTCCAGATGTAATTGGAAATCTGTTTTATACAGAACATCACTTTTCTTATAATCAATCACATTACGTGTAATACAGAACATAACTTTTCTTTTAATCAATCACATCAAGTGTTACACAGAACATTACTTTTCTTATAATCAATCACATTAAGTGTTATACAGAACATAACTTTTCTTGTAATCAATCACATTAAGTGTTATACAGAACATAATTTTTCTTATAATCAATCATATTTAGTGTTATACAGAACATCACTTTTCTTATAATCAATCATATTAATTGTTATAAAGAACCTAACCTGACATCAAATGAGATTGTGGACCCGTTGATATTGTTATGTATTTAGACCCCAAAAGAATGGCAATTTTGCTCTGTTGTAAAATAACTACCTAACAATTTAACAGTTCTTTAATAAAACTATGCATATGAAACTGTTGATATGCTTATATGAAGCCAAATTAAAGATGAAATGTGAATACTCAATATCAAGTTGTTTGGGATTCGAACCCAGCCCAAGGAATGAATAGTTCCATGGTGTAAACCTACACAACTTGCTGGATATTTGTATAATCACATCACATCATTTTTGACTATTTTCAAAAATTGCCCTCTACTTTAACCTTTAGCCTGCTGAGTTTTCGAGCGCCATGTTATCCCGTGCAACTGACTTATTTTTGTGTTTTTAGGAAAGAAGTACTAGGCGAGTTTAAAAATGCAATAACTTCTTTTTTTCATGCAAAGTGACTGAAATTTGGAACAATTGTAGGAAACATATTTCTGCTTGAAATGGTAAAGTAATTTTTTTCAATTCAATTCAATTTGTTTATTTCATAAAATTACATACAATATAGTATACAATGAGTGGGTGACACAAGTGTTTGTGTATATTCCCAAGATGGAGTAAATTAAATGCAAAGTATGTTGAAATGGCGGGGATCTGCCATTACATGCCCTCAATAAAAAAATACAAATTGTGCCATCAAATTGCCCCTAAAAAAGTTACAGATGTAGCAAATATTTTTTAATCTGTTTTTTCATTAGGATGATGCTTCTGATGGATTTAAAATGTGGGGGTAGTTGGTTCTAAATATCAGGTATAGAATATGATAACATTGATTTCCAATAGTTTGTACAGATTTTAGGTTTGTCAAAAGTTTTCTTGTTTCTTGTATTATAATTGTGTCTGTTTTCAACTGGTTGGAAGAAATTAAGAAATATTTGCTTGTAATCATCCCTGTCATTGATCACATTAACCCTTAAATGGTTTTTGGGGTCCGTTTGGACCCCAGAGCTCATTCTTTGCAATAATTATATCAGAAATAATCATTCTATCAACATGAAATTCCATCTAATCCTCAATTAATTCAATTCCTTTCAGATAAAACAAAGCAGATAAAAAATTGCATCATGACTTTTTGTGCTACCTGAGGCCAAAGAACATCACTATCACTGAAACATATTCAATTAATACAGTGTTATATATAAATGCTACGAAATGTTACAAAATGCTAAAACACCTGACCCCTTATGATTAGGTTTACACATATTTCCATGGATTCATGAATAAATAATGCATACATATTCTGAAAGGTAATAGATTAACCTATGTAGAACTGGTCAGAATGAAAAAAGCGTTTCTGGTTGCAAAGTAATTGCAAAATATATCTTGGGGCCCAAAAACCTTTAGAAGGTGTAAAAAAACAAAAAAACATTTAAGGGTTGATTAATTCATTCATTAATTACATTAATTCAATTTCTTTGCAATTGATATACATTTGATTCATGTACAATGTATTGCTTACAAATTCATGAAATTTAACCTTAAAATATTTCTTTGTCTATCACCGTTGAGGTCCACATTCAACCCAGCCAAGGCCATGGTCGCCTCTAAGCTATCTGTCTCATCTGAAGAGGGTGGGACCACCGCTATGGGCATATTCTGCATGACCACCTCACCATTGCTGAAATTGTAAAATACAATTAACAACAAACTTGTAAATGAAACATATGAAACAGACGTTACTTTTCAATTTATCAGGATTATCATGTTTTACTTGTCATGGGTGTTGCAACAGACATCCGATACGTACCTGTCATACTTTCTTTCTGGAACGGTGGAGTCATATCCAAGGTTACCGTTCTTGTAGCTACTATACATTTCATTAGTTATTGAATAGGAATGACTGCCCGTCATCATCTACGTATTTTATGAAGATATTCCCATTTGTGATCTGACACAGTTCACTTGCCGACTTGAACAGCCCCCTCCTCTCATATTTCTTAGAGGGCTTTTTCTTTTTATCTGGTTCATACTGGACCGACCTCGGGCCAGTATGGTGCCTCCATTTACTGTTCCTGAATCAGAACACTCAATATTTAATATCAAACAAACTCTACAATGACTTTGGATAAGGTAGTCAAAATGTGGAGTGGGGATGTCGGGGGAGGGGTGAAATTCGAGCCCGATAGCCCATTTTGTCCCTAGAAATTCTCAAAATTCCGTAACAACAATCGGCAGCAATAAATATAGACATTAGTAGACATGACACATCGCTAAGAATTCACGGTAATCTAAAAAAAACTTACACGCTGGGACCTTTTCTGCTCATTGTGATGGGTGATAATAGAGTAATTTGAATTTCCCGCTAATTGAACTATCAACCGTCAATTGACGGACCGCCCGTTAAACTAGTAGACATGCGCAGTTATCGCCATGCGTTAATTGACGGATGGACTGTTAGTTAGGGTATCATCCATTAATAGGCAAAATGCGTTAATTGACGGATGGACTGTTAGTTAAGGTATCATCCGTTAACAGGCAAAATTTACTTTACTGCACTAGGAATGTCATTGTTGTTGCCATCATTGTCTGTTGGTAATTCTGACAAATCCAAATCATCGTCAGAATCAAGTTCACTTTCAGAGCTCAAGAATTTGTCAACATCGTCTCTATTGAATCCTAAGAACTCATCTTCCGAATCACTGTCTGCAAAATATTCCTGCAATAATTCATCACCCATTTCTAGATGGCTATATTGCTAGAAAAGTCACAAAACCCTGCTTAAATTTTTGTAATTTTGAATTTTTTTTCACATTTTACAAACCAGAAGTGACGTAACGAAGGTCCGGTTATTGCTATCTGATTGGATTATGGAGAACTGCGGGAAAAAGTAAAGGGCATTCTCAGTAAATAGTACCCAAAAGTTTTTTTTAAGTTTGCAATCATTCTAAGGAGTCCTTTTTTATAAAACTATTTTGCTGATGTTATCAAGGGTTATTGGTTTAGATGTGGATATTTTAGTAAATTATTCACTGCTGTGCCTTATATTAACTCGGTAAATAGTACCCAAAACGACATTTTCAATGGCAATTTAACATGGGGTGGGTATTATTTACGAGTTAATATAGGGGAAGGGATCAGTTCAGTGTCTTATATTAACTCGGTAAATAGAACCCGAAACAACTTTTTCAATGGCAGTTTAACATGGGTTTGGTACTATTTACCAAGTTAATATAGGGGAAGGGATCAGTTCAGTGTCTTATATTAACTCGGAAAATAGTAACCAAAACGGCCTTTTCAAAGGCAGTTTTACATGGGTTGGGTACTATTTACCGAGTAATGCAATGAAAACTGTAAGTATAATCCATATTTTAAACAGTAAAAAAGTTAACTTAAAAATGAATTACAATAATGACATTGCTATTTTATTAGAGTATAATCTAATTCATTAATAAAACACAGTACACAATGTGGAATCATTACATGATAAAATACCCAATGAATATTTAACATGTATTGAAGAATTACAATATTGTAGATCCATTACATCATTTGATTTAAAAACATTTCAGTCCATGAAATATTAATTGCACCATTGATCATGTTGATTATACGAAATCAGATTCTGAGAAAGAATACACAAATAAGATGCCATCTTGTTCACTTTCTTGTCACGTTTCCTCCTCTTTTGACTTGAAGAATTGGAAGATGCTGGAAAAAAATAACCAAATACTTAAGAATAAAATAATATATATATTTGAAAACATATTAAAGGGGCAACAAGGCCTGTAGAGATAAAAGAGGAACATTTTCAATTTTTCTGAGCCATCAAGGCAACATTTGGATTATCTTATTTGACATACCTTCTTAAAATGCATGGATAAACTATCAATTTCAGCATTAAGAAGTGTAAATTCAGTTCAAAGCTTCAAAAAGAGGAAATACGCATTATATTTTTAAAATCCACCATGTTTCAAGAGGAATATCAGCTGTATAGTTTTGTACATATTGAAAATTTATCTAAATTTACTACTGGATGAGCTCAGACCAAATTTTGGCTTATGGTATTGCATTTTTCGAATTATGTTAATTATATGTAGTATATCATTTTCATTGATTTTGAAAATAATAGGGTCTAGTTTTTCAGCCTCTTCGAATTATTGCCATTTATACCCCCCTGGCTACTTTTATGAGGGGGTACTAGAATAAGCATTAATAATTTCTGTCATATCCCTCCAATCACATTTATATTTCTAGGGATCATGTATCTATGTATAACTAGTTGCCATGACAAATCTTATCATGATTGGTCAAGTGGTTGCCATGGCAACAAAACTTAAGTGCGAAAAACTGTAAATATTTCAAATAAATCCATCAGATCTTTAAAAGGTAAATGGCTGCTTATCTCTTCAGATTGGACCAACTGACACAAAGTTGACTTTAAAAACATATTTAAGGAGTTATCAATAGGACAACATAATAAAAATGATAAGGTAAATGAAATCTATGACTCTAGTCCGTAGTCATATTTTGTCACTCCCATTCACAATACTCAAAAGTGGGCGTAGCACTTTCAGGTAACAATCCTAAGTAACTTCTGTTATGTACCTGCTATCACATTCATACTTTCAGGGAGTATGTATGTGTATATAGTTGATACAGCAAGTTTGATCATGTTTGGTAAAATGGTTGCTATGGTAACACAACTTATATGCAAAATATGTAGTTATTTCGAAATGACAAGTAAATTACTTAAACCAATCAAAATAAAGTTGTGTTTTCTATAAAACAACATGATTCGAATGATTAGTTAATGGTAAATGGTTGCTATGGTAACATAAATGAATGGCTTTGTTAATATACTATTTTTGGCTTGTGTACTGTAAGTATTGATTTATAGATATATAGTTCATTTGGATTGATTTTTGCATTGTTCATTGCTTTTCTTCCAAATCCAGTTCTAATGCCTATGCTACATACTACATTTACAACATTATGTCCTTAACTAATTATCTTAACTACATATTAATATCTAAAGGTAACTGAACGAGTAACTTAATGACATGTTTCATCATATGTCAGTTACCAGGTCGTTCAATAAGTTCTCATAATTTTGCTCTCATTTTAAGAGTTTTTTATATTTTTCCATGAAAATTTCACAGACGATGCAGAATGTATCTGTGTAACAACTCTGCAAAGATTATGTATTAATTCTAATGGTTGTGGAAATGGCGGTTGCTATAGTAACGTCAAAAATCGGTAGGCGGGGCAACTTTATTTGATCGTAAAATCCATGGATGTAGTTAGATTTCATCTTGAAATGTCATATGTTTTATCTGAAAGATTTGCAACCATAGAAACAGGTTTTGACATCAGTGTGAAAGATGCAACTTTTCTGAGTATAGTTATTACTGTGACATCACATAAAAAGGTATGACATCACAGAAAAGGTTTCAATAGAGAGACCCAAGATGGCAGCTGACTGTGGTCTTGTGAAAAGTCAAGATGAAATTCAAATTCAAATCCGTAGTGTGATAAGATTTTGTGTGTTATCCAAGAAATCAAGAGGAGAAACAATAAAAGCAGTTCAAGATATTTATGGAAAGGAGTTAATGAGCACACCTACCATATACCAATGGTATCAAAGGTTTGGTTCAGAGGGAAGAAAATCTGTGATGGATGAAAAACGGACTGGCAGACCGGTAAAAGTCACCAACCCAAAGGCTGTTGAAAGAGTTAAGACAGTTCTAGATGATGATCGCCGCATCTCTGTACGGGAACTTAGTGAGAATGTGAACATTAGTATAGGTAGAACACACTTCATTCTGAAAGAGAAGCTTAAAATGAACCTCATGTGTGCTAAATGGGTGCCAAAGGAGTTAACTAGTGACCAGAGAGCCCGCAGAGTTGAGGTTTCCCAAGAATTTCTAAGACGATACCAAGATGAAGGGGATAGTTTTCTTCAACGAATTATCACATGCGATGAGGTGTACGTCAGCTATTATGAGCCCCTTGGGAAGAGAGCATCAAGTGGTTGGAGAACTAAGAACTCACCTACTCCCATTTCAACCCTGGCAAAACTGACCAAAAATGATGGCAAGGTGATGTTCATTGTGTTTTTGGATAGCTCTGGGGTGCTGCTTACGCATGCAATTCCTGATGGTCAGAGAATAAACAAGGACTATTATGCAATGGTAAGCTTATTCATTATTAATAAATTAATCAATATAAGAGTAAAAACATTAAATCAAATCAAATTTAAAATCAGATTTGAACTATAAAAATGGTTAAGTACAAATGTTAAAGGCATTAGTATCCTATCCTACTGACTATTTCAGGTTCTCAAGAGGCATCTCAAACGGGCCTTCTCAAAGAAACGCCCCCTCCTAGAGTTGGCGACAAGAATATTTCATCAGGATAATGCCCCGTGTCACCGGGCAGAAGCTGTACTGAACACCATAGGAGAACTCGGAATGGAAGTTCTCCCACAGGCACCATATTCACCTGATGAAGCCCCATGCGACTTTGGCGTGTTTGGCCAAATGAAAGATGAGCTGAGAGGTTTTCGATTTGCATCGACAGAAGATTTGCAGAATGCAGTCCAAAATGCTCTCAGAGCTAGATTTCCTGATGGATTCCATAAAATCTTCCAGGATTGGGTAGAACGTCATCGAAAGTGTGTCGCATCCAATGGACATTATTTTGAGCATTTAAAGTAGGAATAGAAACATTTACCCCATACTATTTCATGGGATAAATGGGACTACATGACATTAAAACACTTGTTACTCTCCACAATGTTGAACTGAATTATATGCCACTATGACGTCAAATAATCTGCCCCGCCTACCCATTTTTCATGTTACTATAACAACCGCCATTTTCACGACCATTAGAATTAAAACTTAATTTTTGCAGGGTTGTTACACAGATACATTCTGCATCGTCTGTGAAATTTTCATGGAAAAATATAAAAAACTCTTAAAATGAGAGCAAAATTATGAGAACTTATTGAACGACCTGGTATTTAGACTTCTGTACTCAAAGCCTTCAACATAAGCAACTACTGATTTAATAGGCTGCAAAGAAATCAGTTTACTCACTTAATACATCAGCTGCATTGATGGACTCATCAGCATCATTGATGTTCTCATTTGCTTTACCAAGTGCTTCAGCAGCAATCTGATCAGCAAGTATGTCAATCAGCTCATTTGGTATAATGGGCTGAGATGACCAACTAGGTTGCAGCCCTTTGTTGGTCTCCTTCCACCCATGAGCATTGGGATTTTCAATATCTGGTTTTGCTATATGAGCACTTCCATATGTAGGTTTGGTAGTTTGCACGACGTGCATGTTGCATTAGGGAATCTTTGCATGGTGGCAAAAGGGATAAGTCTGTCCCTTCATATGATATTGTCACATTTGATTTAGGGGTGTACCGCTGTTGGAACGGAGAACAACGTTACTTGTTAATATTCCTTAGCTTAGTTTTTTGTCATACATAAGACATACGAAATGTTCAAGCTTATCCATCTGTTCTTTGGTTAACTCTAAAGTTGTTCCTAGAGAAATGAACAGGTGCAGGAATACTTTCTCACTTTTCATGAGGTGCAGCGGTAGGAGTTTGCCTTTGCGAACAAAGTCACTGGTTGGGTCACAACCACTAAACGCATGGAATCCTGGAATGGCCTCACAGAGGTCAGATGAAAGGGATGCTGCAATTGCATGTATATCTAGAATTCGCCTTTTGTCACTTGTTCCAACTTGTGACTCGAATATTTCATCAGGACTAGGAAAACATCTGTATCAACAGAACGAACAACTAGTGGTTTTTCAGAGGGTCCAGCAGAATAGATAGTATGGAGGATTACTTTGGTGTCTGTTTTATCATTTACCTGAATTAATCACTTACCTGCACCTATCAAAATCACTAACCTGCACCTTTCAGCTCTTCAATAAGATCTGCAATAACCTCAATCTGTTATGTCACCTATGGGTGCTTCTATACAATTTGCACAGAAGGAAAAATATGTAAAAATTCATCAATCAAGAAACACAGTATTACATAATACACTGTGGCTAGTCGATCTATGTGGATGCAGTCATTTATATGTAATGTTTCGTGGGTACTCGCGTACATTATAGGGAATGGGATCATTGCAAAAATATGACAGCAAATCAAGGTAAGTGATCTCAGAGTTTCTACTTAACATTGTGACTTGAAATCTTGCATACATATTCAATATACATAGTATGACAATGTGTGAAAGTTTCAGCTACCATATTCCTGTTATAGGGAAGATATTTGAAAAACATTTCGTAAACGTCAACATATATGTATAAAATGGATGTACCTATGTATCATTTGGATTCAGAACGGTAACAAATGGATGCTTTAATAAATTATACTTTTATCATGATGATTTATTTACTGATGGACAACTGGCCAGATTTTCTTTGTATCCATTGTTTGGATAAACATTCCTCATTCAGTAAAGTAATTAGCAACCCCATTACAAGTAGTCTAAAGACACACTCATGAAAAATTGAAAATACTATATATAAACCCATCAACTGGAAAATGCCATTACAGATGAAATAAAGGACCCACGGTCCTGTGCTCACACAGTGTAGAACCTTCAGAGGAATGTATATCCTGATTTTCAAACAAAAGTATTGGTAAATATGAGATCAATAAAAGATGAGTCCTTTGTTGTTGGTTGATTCTTATTAAGTTGGCTGCATCCAAGCTGTATCTAGTGTTGTGTTGTTACAATTGATAATTTTCTCAAGCCCCTTTGACTTAACATGGGATACCAAAATAGTGATTTTTGAGATTTCAAAATGCCATAACTTCCGAAGTCAGATCAAAATCTTGTTTGCAGATTCGGATTCCTTGGACAATTCTTCACATATTTCATAGCTCGTACATTGAATTCCAAGAACTTTTTTTATTGTGACCTACTTTTCGGATGCCATATCTCAAAAACGGTAAGAGTGATCAAAAACAACTTGCCTGTAGGATTAGCTTTTTTGAAAGGAACATGATTAAAAAAACGGAGCAAAAATATTAAAGGACGACTGAGAAAATTGAAAAAATGACAAAGTACTGGATTTGACCTAGTTCTTGACCTTTGACCTAGATTAAACCTGATTAGACCTAGATCTGGACTTGGACCTGAACTGGACCTTGACTTGGACCTAGACCTGGACTTCTACCTGGAAATGGACTGGACTGGTATTTTTTCAATCTTTTCTTCACTTCTCTTGACTTTCTATAAGGCTATCATCAGATCGATTTTTCTAGAAATTTAAAAATCAGCAATTTCTCGGAAACCGGCCGAACTTGGGAAATGGCGATTATAGGTCAAATATTCATTATGGATATGCATAAAATGAATGTGAAAATGACTCAATCCGAATAGCAGTTCTAATCCAATGGACGGACGGACCAATGGACGGACGCCTGGTCGATCCCATAGGCTCAAAAACCATGGTTTTATCGCTAATACTGTTAATTTGAAAAACGGGTCCATAACATGTAATGATGACAATGAAAATATTGAAATTAGGTACGCCAATGAAGTGAATTCAGGGCAAAAGACCCATCGACCCACTGGAATACCCACAAATCAAGTTTCATAGCCTTGCCAAAGTCGGTCTCTTTTACTTATCTTGATTTCTATTATGACCGCCTTGTACCCAAGAGAAAGCCACGTGCTTTACCGACCCAATGTTTTTGTCGGTAAAATTTGACAAATTAACGACGGCCCTACATTGTCGGACTAGGTCTTCGTGCATTTCCATCACGAATTCAGTTTTGATTTCAACATTGAACTGCATGATTTCATTTAGACGAGTATTAATGACTGCTTACATTCCAATGTACATTTAATAACATAATATATTGTAACTCTCAAGAAACACTCGATCAAATCATTGAATTTCAAGTCCTAGACGGGTAGTTTGCTTTTTATGCAGGTCAACCTGATAACGTTTTGATTGGTCAATCAGCCTGGAGTCACACGTTGTGTCCATGTCCATATTGTCAATCAATATGGTTTTGCGATACCCTTAGGTAGCCTATAAGGTATTATGGGAATCTCGGAACCGCTGAATAACTTAGCATAATATCAGCGATGATGCTTTGGATTGTACAAGGTGGTAATAATTCAAGATCAGATGAGTAAATAAATGCCGACTTGGGCAAGGCTACAAGTTTCAGAGCCATTTACATTCCTTGAAAGTGACAATGAGCAGCCAACAGATGGACCATCCATTGATTTTGTCAGCTCAGCTGAACGAGCCTCCAGATTCCTTGAAACAAATGACCATAATTCAAGAATAATATTATTTATTTACAATTTTTTGAAATCGTGGTAAGTGGAATCTTCCCAATTACCAATATAGCGTTATTATTGTTTTTGGACACCGTGGATTAAAATATTAAAAATACACACATTCAAAATGATTCAATTCAAACCTAGCCAGTCTGTTCAATGAATCCAATCAGAACGTCTACTAATCCACATGATACATCATAATTAAATTGCTTTTTAAAGCGGATATTTCATAACATAACCCCAAAAATATTATAGGACGCATTGTATTTGTATTTTACTTCACACAGACATATTTGTGTTTGTGAAATAATTATATTACTTGAATTTTTTATTCCCCATTACAAGGAAAACCTATGGCAAATTATACATACCTTCTCCCAACTATGAGCGAGATGATAAAACTGGTCGAGTGAACTCGTTTGAGTTATCTATTCTTCGTAAAAATATCAGAGAATGTGTGTTTATAGCGTAGCTTTGGTTTTCTATTTCAATGAAGTATGATATACACGGATGAGTAAATATAGATTATTTAAACAGAAGTGCAAAATTCTTCCATTGAAAAGTACAGAGGCGGGTACTCACGAAATATTACATGTGCCTGACTGCATCCACATAGATCGACTAGCCACAGTGTAATATGTAAGTGAATATAATTAGCATTTTCCATTTATTAGGTATATAAATACTTTTAAACGTTCAATATGAAAAAGAAACGTTATTAACGTTTTGTTAGTCATAATTGCTAAATTTGATACAAAAAAAAAAAAAATTTTTACATCTTATTTAGTTAATAACATCAATTCTTAGATTATGGATGTTGACATCATTACAGCAATAAAGTTTTGAAAAATCAATCATTTTATCAATTGTGTTCTAACTTACCTAAATGGAATATCTTATATGTACACGTGTTAACTGTGTTGATATAGTTGATACTGATAGTGCCTTATTAAATAAGATGGTTGGTTTTTGTTACCTGAATGTACCACGCCCACTATACACAGTTGTTAACATTAAAAATCAATCTTGAGATGGTAACATTGACTTACAGATGATTTCAACCATGCTTACTTATAAACAACGACCTAAATATGTTTTCTTACTGTGCAATATGAAATCATTGGTGGTGGATCTATCAAAATGTTTGCACTTTTTTGCACATAAGTTGTGATGCTATGGCAACGATTTCACCAAACATGATCAAACCTGCTGTATCAATTAACTACATGCACATACATACTCCCTGAAAGTATGAATGTGATAGAAGGTAGATAACAGAAGTTACTTAAGATTGTTACCTGAAAGTGCCACGCCCACTTTTGAGTATTGTGAATGGTAGTGACAAAATATGACTACGGACTAGAGTCGTAGATTTCATTTACCTTATCATTTTTATTATGTTGTCCTATTGATAACTCCTTAAATATGTTTTTAAAGTCAACTTTATGTCAGTTGGTCCAATCTGAAGAGATAAGCAGCCATTTACCTTTTAAAGATCTGAGGGATTTATTTGAAATATTTACAGTTTTTCGCACTTAAGTTGTGTTGCCATGGCAATCACTTGACCAATCATGATTAGATTTGTCATGGCAACTAGTTATACATAGATACATGATCCCTAGAAATATAAATGTGATTGGAGGGATATGACAGAGATTATTAATGCTTATTCTAGTACCCCCTCATAAAAGTAGCCAGGGGGGTATAAATGGCAATAATTCGAAGAGGCTGAAAAACTAGACCCTATTATTTTCAAAATCAATGAGAAGTGATATACTACATATAATTAACATAATTCGAAAAATGCAATACCGTAAGCTAAAAATTGGTCTGAGCTCATCCAGTATACCTCTTTTTCTTTAACTAGAACCATGACTGACATGTACATGTTTTGTAGGATGTGGTGTTGATGTTGTTAAACCTGGTACATTTGAATGAGTAAGCTCCCACCCTGATGGACAGTACGCTCCTTTCTTTGCAAGGAATTTTCTACGAGCTTCATCTAAAGTGAGAAAATTCTACTTAATATTTGAAAAATATTTTAATATAATTTTTTCATATAAGCAGAAAAGTACAGTTTGGAATATGCTAAATTTATATATCTTTATAGCTGTTCAATTGTATTGAATGTAATTTTATAAAATTAATAGATCAAAAATAATTACCATGATTTCCAGAAGTACTGGGTGTTTGGATGGCATGTGGAAGAACAGATGGGGTATCCATATCACTTAAATCATGCTGACTTGCAGTGGGGGTGAAATGACTTGCAGTGGGGGTGAAAACCTCATAAGGTATGTCTAAGATGGATGAATGTACAGTATAAGGTTAAATGAAAAAATTATAAACAGTGAAATTATTAACCCAACGAACGAAGTTCCGTAGGGATATAGTGAAGCCGTCCGTCCGTCCATCCGTTTATCCGTCCGTCCGTCTGTCCATCCGTTTATCCGTCTGTCCGTCCATCCATCCATCGGATTTTCTTCATATTTGGTGGAAAGATGTATATTGGTAAATAGTTTTACGCAATTTTTTTTTCTAAGATGGCCGCTGCTTTAAAAATGACGGGACTTTTTCGCCAAAATCATAAAATTTTCATTTTAAAGTAATAAATATTTTTGTTAGAAATTTTGGTAGTTCTATTTCACATTCTGTGTTTTTGATACTGACCCCCCAGGGCTCATGTAGGGGGAAAACATAAATTTTAGTTAATTTTGATATCTTTCTGAAGTATAGCTTTATTATACTCAAATGAAAGGCAATTTAGAGTACATTGAAAATATTGTATCTTTTTTCTGATTCGGGCCTCTTAAATTCAAAAGGGCCGCCTAATGTTGGATTTTGCAATAATTTTTCGATCCCTTCAAAGTATGGCTATATTATACTCAAATTGAAGGAATTTTAGAAACAATCACAATTATGGTATTATTTCTCAGAAAATTCAAAATGGCTGCCTTGCAGGAATCGGCTATTCCGAAATCTACACTTTTCAATCCAAACCAGAGTAATGAGTATAACTGATTGGAATTTGGTAATTGGTATATTGTTCGTTGGGATTTGCTACTCTGCTGAGTTATCATTTTCTAGTTTCATGTTTTTGATAGAGCCCATGATTATATCAATATTGAAATAGTGTAAAACTATGAATAATTAATATATAAATAATAATTAATATAACATTACCACTCAAATTTGACATCGAATCTTGGGGGCTATTACTTGTATCTTGATCAACATCTTCACCAATTTCTACATTTCCAGCTAAAATTATAAATAATAATAAATATATTAAATTTTTAATGTGTTGAAAGATTTAATTATATGATTAATATGATTATTTAATTTCTATACATTTCAGTAACAGTATTGAGATCTGTTCATCCACTACAACTATGTCCAATTCATCACCAGACAAATTTCGGAGTTCAGCTTCTACATCATTTAGATGTAATTCTCTTGAGCGTAACCGTTGAAGGGTTAAGAAGTTCTATAATAGTCCATTTTGTCAATCAAGTGAATGTTTACAAGAGCTTAATAAACCATTATTATCAAGATTGTAGTATAATTTATAATTTTAAGATTTCTCTAAATACTGAATGCAAAATAAGAAGTACATAAAATCAAGAGGATTTTCCAAAATTGGAAAAATATTGAAGAATTAACAAAATTGCATTTTTGAGTCAATTGAATTAATCTTGAGAAAATTTACCTTAAAATTCAGCAATTCACTTGCCCCTATAAGCACCTTTAAAGCCGTCTTGTTCTCAATCAGATCAAAGTTTATGGGACCTTCATAAGATAGAATTTTGTCAATAATGCATGTTGAGATTCCAGACCTGAAAAAACAAGGTTTAATGTGATAAAATGTTACAACCTCACAACGAAGAGCTCTTCTGTCTTTAAAGCAATAAATGTAACTTTTTGAGCTCTTAAAAGCTTTGTGAATGTTGTTTTATAATTACTGCCACATAAATTGTTATTAACATACTTTGTACAGGGTGACCCAAAATGAATACAGCCCAAAATGAATACAGCCCATTTTTATCGCCAATAAGATATAGAGGTTCTTGTATGAGTACCTGTGCATGATCGTCCATTCTTGATGATACCTTTTTCAAATGACAAGATAGGCTTATACTTTAAAAGCACAATTTATATTCACCATTTTCGTTTATTCATTTAGTTCAATACAATGGAATTGTAACAATAAACTTTTGTTATTTTAGAACAAGAACTGTTTATGAATATACTGTTCAAGACGTGTTTATCCTCCAGACTCTTAATCAGTCTGAACTGCTTATAAATGTACTGTTCAGGAGATGTCTACCAGTGACCTAATTGCAAAATTAATATTCTTGGGACTTAAAACTTGCATTACTGAAAAATTCCTGGGAGTGGGATGGATATATTATATTTGCTCGCATTTAGTATGTCCAGATCCAAAGTGCTTTATATGATTGTATAATAGCATTGTATAACTGCCATATAAAACCAACACTCATATATGGATAAACTATTGAAAACGATATACAACTCCTGGATAGCGTATACAACTCCTCAACTCGATATACAACTGCTCAATATAGATTAACTTTTTATTATTGTTGATCAAAAGATGGCGTATGTGTAATAATGATGTGCAACTTTAAGGAGTCAATTTGCAAGTATCAAACGCCATTTACGAAGTAGAGACTATGCTAAATCGCTGAGAACTGACCGGGAATTCAGTAAAAGCAGACACACTTTCAGCTGAACAAAAACAGCAAGGAAAAGCAAATAGGCCAAATGAGTCTAGGCCTGTCTCTGCAGAGGAATTAGAAATGATCAAGGCCTCTGAGGTGTTCGGGACAACTTCAGCAAGTTCACTGCAGAATTAAATATGGTGGAACCGTTCCAGATTTTTGGGATGAGGGGAGTCAAGGAACACTAAAGATTTGAGATGGGGTGATGTCGTTGAAGGGAGTAGACAAGGGAACATTAGAGATCGTAGGTAAATAATAAGTATTATACGAGGGTTGATCCAAAATTTCAGAACCATTTGCTCTAAAAAATCTTAATACTTTATGAATATTGCTCACATTTGGCCAGAACCACCCCATATACGAGGGTTGTCCAAAAAGTCTTGAAATTTTTGTTCTCATTTCATCAAATTTTATCTATTCTTGCTGAAACTTGGTATGTATGTCTGGCAGTAATCCATCCTTCATATACAAAAACATCATAATAATGCGTACGTTATATTGTGTGATATTGTTGCTATAGCATCCCAGAGATAAGGGGGTCGGGGCAGGTCTTATTTATTATATCACCTTTACACACATTGGTTATTAAAAACAAATAAAACATTGACTTATTGAATTCAATGCACCAATAAATCTTCTTGAAACATCCCTGAATGACAAAATGGTATTGTATTATATTATGATGTCATAGTGTTTCTGACATACTTGAAGGAGCAATTGAGACATTTGAACCAGAGACACAGCTTCAACAATTTGTTAAAATGGCAGCCATTTTGGTAACAGATTCGAAATCATTGCGGGCAATAGCGCAATATCATGCTGCGCAAGGGTTAACACCCACACAAACTCATGCAAGTATGGCAAAAGTGTACAAACAATATACACAAAGTACACCAACCCTATGGAGATGGCAGAGGAAGCACAGGGTGATCCTTTGCCACTATGTGCCGCATGGTCAAACAGTCAACAAGGAATATTATTCCAAGGTAATTGACAGTTATTACTTTATTGGCTTATCATATTAGCTTACTTTATATTAAATGTGTATTAAATTTTGTGTAAACCTTTTATAATATTATATCTCCAGGTGCTGAGGAGGGATTTAATGAGAGCCCTTCAAAAGAAGAGAAGCAGCAAGCTGTCTGAGGGTGTAATATTCCACCAGGACAATGCACCTGCACACGCCTCACAGAAGGTTCAGGAACTTCTTGCGACCCTTGGCTTCGAGGTTCTCAAGCATGCACCTTACTCGCCTGACAATGCCCCTAGTGACTTCTATCTCTTCAAAGGTTTAAAGGACACTCTGAGGGGAACACGGTTTGATGATTTTGATGATCTGAAGAATGTGGTCAAAGCACACTTCATGAAACTGTCCCGAGAGGATTTCACTGGAGCCTACCTAGACTGGGTGAAAAGACACCAGAAATGTGTCCTTCACCACGGAGAATATTTTGAAAAATTATGAATGTAATGGGACTATGTGCTCCTTTATTAAAATAATAATGTTGATTATTATGTAACCTCAAAAATGAATAAACCATTCGATGCATAGGATGTGCTCCTAAATTCAAAATTTTGGATAATTTTTTCTTTATTTTAGCCTCCTTAAAAGTGCCCTGATGGGGCAAAACTCATACTCTTGCAATGTTCATGAAAATAAAACCATGCAGTGTAATTCCTTCAAACTTTACAAAGTGAATAACAAATGTTCAAAGATCATCCATGTGAAATATGATGCCAAAAGAATAAAAAATTGATGAAATGAGAGCAAAAATTTCAAGACTTTTTGGACAACCCTCGTATAGTAGTTTCATTTTGTGTAAAATTGAGCAATAAATTTGACCAGCAACATAGGTGTCTTGTTTCCATAGCAACATGACAACAGGGTAGGTGGAGCAAGAGTATGACACAGTTATCCTGGTTCACCGTCAATGGAGCTTATTGTTCAAAGGTCAGTTACAGAACCTTATCACTCATTTATAAAGTTATAAACTAGTATAGATTACTTATATGAGGTATGTTGATCTATTAATAATCAATTAGGTATGACACTCAGTTTAAAAATGTGTTCCAGGTGCTGAAGAAAGATCTTAAAGATGCTAAGAGAAAAAAACGACCAGATCTCCTCAGGAACTTCTAGTTTCACCATGATATGCCCCAGCCCACAGAGCCAATGTTACAACAGAGGCAATACATTAGTGCTTGCAGGCGCAACTACAGCCCTGTCCGCCATATTCTCCTGATATGGCATCATGTGACTTTCATATGTTTCCTGAGGCCAAGAAACCACTGCGTGGTATCCATTTCGATGATGAAGCTGACCTTATGCAGCCATTTACTAATAGCACTTATGCTACAGCTAAAGGTGAGCTTCACCATGTATTTCTGGACTTGTTGAAACACTTTAAGAAATGTATAGCACATGGTGGTGACTGTTTTGAAGGCGAATGAACTTATATACTATAATAACCTATTGTATGAGATTTTATAGGGGTGAAACTCCATGAATTGAAATGATCTGAAATAGCTCTTCAATTGCTATAATTCGGAATAAAGTTTAATTTATTCCAGCTCCACCTACCCTGTTGTCGTGTTGCTATGGTAACCAGACACTTATGGTGCTGGTTAGATTTATTGTTTATTTTTACACAAAATGAAAACCACAAAGGACCACAAAATCAGCATCACCGCAGATATCTTGCGGCAGCGCGAGACTTACATCATTATCGTGCGGTACCTCTGTACTTAGTGCAAGTCACTCTCTGATAAACATCATTCCAAAATATTATAAATTATGAATAAATTGAGGGCTAGATGCACCAGTAAGACATTCATTCAATAAACAATGATTTAAAATGGCTAATAATAGCCATATTTGACTCCTATTCTAATATGCTGATAACGTTACATTTGAGGTTAACAATTGTGAAAACTCAACATGTCCTGTCTTAATGAACTGCCTTCACAAGTATAACCTCACAGATCAGGCATGAATGATTTCACTCGTGATATATAGCCTGCGTGCTTTTTGATGATTTTTGGGTGGGGTTGGACATTCCCTGTGCATTCCTCACCCCGAGGTCCCCGCTTATGTAAAGCTGTCGGATTTGAGCAAGATAAGTCTACTGAATGTAGTACACGAATAATGTGTTTTTGTGAACGGCTATGGACGTTTTTCGCATTGTATCTGGCATGTGCGATCATGGTCGTTAATACTCACTGGGAAAATATTTTTAACTGGTAACTATAATTATTAAAAATATAGAATGATAACATAAATTGTACAAAGGTTTGAATGGCTTGTTTGACATGTTTGGTGGTATTTGTTTTGACAGAAAGGAAAAACGAAACAAGGTAATGATTTCAATAGAAATACATCATATAAATATATAAATGTTCATGCACGGACTTTAAGTGTCCGTGGTTCATGTAATAAGTGTATACATGAATTATAGAAATTCCAAAATAGAATACTGTATTTTACAGTTGCCTTTTGATATTAAATACCCCTGGTCAATACATAGGCTATAGACTATATAACTTAATGAAAACTCATACAGACTGTAGCGAAATAAGAAGCAAGTTACAAATTAGATTTGTCGTGTTTGTAATACATGGGCACATACACATATACTGCTGGGATAAACGAAAGAAACGGACACGAAACTGGAATGAAACAAGAATATACAAAGAATTACTGATTCAGAATTATTTGGAAGAATTGATGACGTATAGTTCATTTGTTTGTTTATTTGTTGATGGGGCAATATGTCACTGACGTCACAGATAATGGTATCATATTCCGAGAACCCATTAACAAAAGTGTTATATGACGTCATGATAAAACAACATTGAAAATGATGATCTCTTAGTTGCTATGGATTACTATGTCGTATATCGTCATTCTGCGTCCTTGATATTTAATACAGAACACTTGTCAAACGTGAAGTTAACAAACGAGCTTTTCATAGAGGTGTTAATTTTCTATTTCTGTAATTTAAAAATATATCACCATTGTCGTAAGGGTTATACTGGTATATCCTTAAGTGATGGAAATACGTACATGTGTATTTAATATATCATCCTTTCATCAGGTTAATTTTCTAAATAAAAAAATAAAAATTAGAATGTGATATAGATGTTCATATATGAATGTAAAAGCAATGTGTTATGAGTAGTTTTTAAGGTTTTCAATGTTGCGTCAATCACGGCGGCACTGTTGGTGCATGATTGGGTATACGAAAGGAGAAATTTGAGACAAGAACGCGTGTTTAGGGACAGGCAAAATCCAATAGAGATTTATGATGAACAGGAAATTCTTCAAATGTATCGCATGCCTTCCTTCATGGTAGCACACATTACCTCAAATGCAGGCTATTCGGAGGAAACGGCCCGAGCTTCTAGAGAGAGGGACGTGGCTACACTTCGATAATGCTACACCACACAGAGCCAGGCACACAATGGATGTAATCACTTCACTAGAAATGTCACTTGTAGACCAAGCACCCTCTTCTCCCCTGATTTAGCTCCACTTGATTTCTTTTTATTTGGTGTTTTAAAGAAGGGACTTGGGGGACAGCACTTCACATCAGAACAGGAACTCTTGACTGAAACAAAGAGAATTCTCAGAAAGGCTGAACAAAGTGGATTTCAAAATGTCTTTGATGAATGGGTGTTAAGACAGCAACGATGTATAGATGTCCATCATTACTTCTAACTGGATGCTGGAGAAAGCCTCCGCGCATTGTTTTGCGACCTTGTCAGCCATTTTTTGAAGCAGAATGTCAACCCAAGGTCAAAATTTACAAGGGTCGCTATAAGGGGTCAAACTGATATAGGTGTCCTAATTAGTGACACCAGTCAAGGACACGCCCTGGATTTGCGGATAGCTTTGTGAATATGACGTAACGCAATAAATCACGGACACGCAATAGGTCCGCAATATTTGCGGACACGCAAGCTTGCCGAGCTTTCATGAATTAGGCCTCTGTTCTTCATTTATAACATCTTCCTCATCGTCATTCATGTTATTGTCTTCCTGGTTAAGCCCCAAACAATGCTGGAACCACGCTCTGGCCCTTTCTTTTGAACCACATGATAGTCTAGCTGACGCCATTTTGACTAAAATAGCAACCAACAAACGAACAACGATAATCCCACAAGATTGACATCAAAACAGGGAAAATTTGAAATTTCAAAACTTTTTTAGTAATCAATATTCTCAAGGAAGTCAAATTCCAGGTCGTTCAATAAGTTCCTGGAAAAACGCTCTCATTTTGTTAGATTGTAGTATTTTTTATTGAAATTTTCACAGTATGTGTAAAATTTATTTAGAATTTATGTATGTCAAACCACCAACCATACTTACAAAAACAACAAACCAACAATTCCAACAAGAGAAACTCAAGACTACTAATTCAATGGACTCCTGCACATTTAAAATTAAAACAGGTAGTGTCAATTAATTAACTTCAGGACGAAGTGTTTTTTAGGGGGGGGGGGGGGTGATTAGTGTAGGGATTGCTAAATTTCCGATCTTTTCTTACGTTCAGTCATTTTTATCTTTACTTTATACCATCAGAAAATTTCATATCAATTCCTCATTTTTGCATTCTTGTCAATTTTCTAAATTACTCACTTATATGGACGCAGCCATATTGTTTTTATTTGATGCATGCCCAAAGAAAGTTTTAATAGAATGAGAAAGTGGCACATGTGCGAGGCCCAAATAAGTGAAATAAGTGTTTTGCGCTGGGATCATGGGGGTACCCTAAACCCAAACATATATTATTTATCACAACTTAACTTTTTGACAAAGCACAACTTAAAGGATCACCAATCACATAGCACAATAGGGCACAACTCATGGCCACTGTCCATTTGACGCAACACAATGAGACACAACTCAATACATAACTAGCATAACCATAACCTGACATAAAACCACTAAGACACAATTGACTATCAAAATGATGCAACACAACCAGTCGCAACTTCCAATCACACAGCCCACTCAGGCACAACTCAATACCTCATTCAATAGGACAAGGTCTGCCTCTGACCAGCATAACACAATCACAACATTACACATTTTTACACAATTACACAATGGGTCACAACCCAATACTCACATAACACAACTGGCACAACCAGACAACCAACTGCTAAAATACAACGTACTGTCAAACTAACAATCACAGACACAACCCAATAATAATCAAACACAACACAACAGAGAAAATCAAATGAAGCATAACCTCACTACATATTGTTGAATTAACGCAACACAACTGGGCAAAACCTAACACCAAACAATCATAACACAGTCAGGCACAACCTAATACACAACCTGTACATGGATACAACTGACTCGCCAATTAAACTAAACACAAGACCCTTAATTTGTTACCATAGTAACATATATTTATAAAATAAATCAACCATCAAACATGTTGGACTTAATTTGTCTGGCTACATGAGACAGATGAGTCATAAAACACACTTGCATAAACACAAGATGGAGGCACATTTGTTAAGTATCAAGAGGGTATTCACTAGTGCTACGATAAATCGGCAACTCGAATAATCACTCGTTTGGGGAAAACAATTTGAAATTTGATTTTTGTTTTCACCTCCTATTTCGGCTCGAATTGTGTACCATTCGAGTTGGGTTACGTCAATTCGAGTCAGGAACACTATTTACTATAAAAGTACTTACATGTTGATCTATAATCAGCTAATAAAGCGTAAAATAACATGTAGAAAACAATTTGTTTTGTTCATTTCTTTTACTTCCGGGATCTAACCTTATCTCCAAAAGCAGTTCGTTCAGTGAGCTCTGGACGAAATGCTACAGTAGGATAATAATAGGGTCAGAGCCTCGTTTCGAAGTTGACATTGGCGGCAGAATCAAAATGTCTGACTCCAAAACATGTAAAATTGTGGATAATAAATCAGCCAAATCAAAGGTTTGGCAATATTTTGGCTTCTACGAAGTTGAAGGGAAAGTTGATACTGCAAAATTTACATCAAAAAAGTGGTTGGCAGCGGGTTGGGAGATTCCCTTCAAAACTTTGGAAAAAATCGAATTTATTCAATTAATCGTCGTCAGTTTGGTCCCGATAAAATTCGGGCGAGTCCCACCACTAGTATTCACTCAGAAGTAGTGGGAATTAAAGAAGGTCCAATAACAAGGAGCAGCTTCCTACCTACTAAGTAATAGGACAGAGAGGGCAATCCTACAAGAACAGGTATTAAATTTGATACTCATGTCTTTACGGAGCTACGTTTATGGAGCTGCTCCGCACCCAATATTTAGAGGGGGCTCATATCTGAAAAAATTTCCGAATTTTTATAAAATCACACAGATACTGCCTGGCTTCCAAGATGCAAAAATAATTTGTATAGATAGTGCACCTTGAACACCATTTTTTATGAATGCTGGGGACTCAGTATTAAAAGGATAATTTCAAAATATATAGGTCTGGGAAAGGTTTAAGGCACACTGCGTCGCTATAGAATGAATTGCACTACTATTTTCACAATTGTATTGATATTTGGTGTCAAATACACATATCTTGGTATATTTGAAGTCCCAAAACGGCTTAGTTTCAGAAATATCCCAAATTTAAATTCAAAAATAACCGTTAGCTCCGCACCCTCCGCTCATTTGCTCCGCACCCAATATTTCCCACAGGCTCTGTCTGCATAGGGTGTTCAGATGCGGAGAAACAGGGCACTGGAGTTTTATGTGTACCAGATTCTGCGGCAGTGGTTCTGAAGCCAAGTTCAACAAAAAAATTAATCATCAAGCCGACAATCGAGTTAAGTACTTCTGTATTCAATCAGAGCAAATATTTTGAATGTCATGATGAAGATCTGTTTAGATTAAGAGATAAATTTTTCATAAAGATATTCTTAAGCGTCATGAAGAATTATGAAAATTTTTAAACGCAAATCAAAAACGGATACAAAATTCCATTCATTCATACGCCACCACCAGTAATTTTGAAAAATAACAAATGTGCTTTGAAAAATGCCATGTTTGTAGCTGACGCCATTAGATTTAGTTCTTTTAGGATGTGTGAAGAAGCAATTTGAGGTGCCTTACGTGGTGAACCCATTGCGGTTGGTAAGCGAAGACTGGTTCTCGACTTACGTCCCACTAATCTGTATGTTTGGCATGAAAAAGTATGAAGATTTGACAACTGCAAAAAATTATTTGAAAAAGGGTATGGTTTTGAACAATTTTGACATTCATAGTGGATATCACCACATATCTGTGTTTGAACCAGATCAAAAATACTTCTGCTTTTCGTGGGTGTTTCATGGCGTGAGCCGTTACTTCATGTTCACTGTTGTCTCTTTTGGTATAAAAACTGATGGATTGATCTTTAGTAAAGTCATGAGGACATTGGTCACACATTGGAGAATGCTAGGCATCAACATTGTTGTATTTCTTGATGATGGTCTCGTTGTAAGTGAACATATGGACAAAGCTTTACAAGATGCCTGATCTGATCTTATAAAAGCAGGTTATGTCATAAATAATTCTTGCAAGGAGGAGCTTGTGTGGCTTGGGTTTCATTTGAATATGAAGGAAGGTGTCATTTTGGTTCCACTAGAGAAATTACGTCTCGGAGAATTGATTTCTGGAATTTTAGTTGAATCCAACAAAGTTAGGTTCAGATCATTGGTCAAAGTAGTAGGAGTGATACAATCAATGAAACCTGGTATGGGTCATATTTGTCAGCTAATGACCAGACGTTTAAGTGTCAAGTTAACCATGGTAACCACTTGGGACAAATTCACATCTTTATCACGAGATGAGAACTTGTGTTTTGGCTCGGTAACATGTCAAGCTTGAATTGAGTTTCATTGCAAGAACAGTGTCCTCCGCCCAAAGATTGTGTTCTCTGATGCATCCAATACAGGTGATGCAGATTTCGTTGTTGGACTAAATGGTCAACCATCTTTCAAGTCATGGTCAGTTTTAGAGAGAATAAAGAGTTCTACTTGGAGAGAATTGAAGACAGTTGAATTGGTCATTTTCATCGAAATTACAAGGGAAATCTGTTTTGTGGTTCTCAGATAATCAAAATGTGTCTATTATATTGAAAAAGGGCAGTATGGAGCCAGAATTGCAAGCAATTGCTGTATATGTTTTTGAACAGTGTCGAAAATTTAGCATTGATTTGATGGTTCAGTGTATACCAAGAGAATATAATGTTGAAGCAGATGCGTTAAGCAAGATCATAGATGCAGATGACTGGTGTGTTCTTCAATATGATTGGGCTTTGTTGTGTTATGTCAACTGCAGGAAAAGGGAATGCCATGTGATCTATCAATAATTTATATCAATGACAAGCTATTAAAATGTTTTCCAAAATGTCACAGACTTGAAAAATGATGTGTTGTTAATTACTGAAATGGCTTCATCTGTAAATTGAGAGAGCAGTTTAGTCTAACACAAAGCCACATTGACACATGTACAGTCTAACACACAGCTTAAATAACACAATATACTGTGTTCTTTCAGATACATTGGAAACAGTAGTTACACCAAACTGATAGCTTAGTGACACATCAAGAGAAGTGATTCATCACAATAGGAGGCATAAAAGCATGCATGTCTCCAAAGAGTAACCTATTGGAGTGCTCAAGAACATATGCAGGTGCATACACAAAACAATCTTTCCTTTACTCTGCCAGAAGAATGCTGTCCAGTTGAGATGTTTAGTGTCAACAAACATATATGCAATCAACCAGCTTTCCTGATGCAGAGCATGACCAGATCTAAGTTCAAAGCCATTATCATTGTTGTATATATTTGTCAGGCAGTTTTAATGATACTGTCTGCATTTATATATGGCAGTTGCAAAGGTTAAACAACAAGGTCAATATACATTTATTGCATCTACAGCAGTATGTTATGAACTAAGTTATGAATAGACAAATGGATAAGTGAAGTTTTCCCTCTATAGCATTAATTATTTTAGACCTGATAACGACAACTGTACAATGGTACAAAGATTCCACGACCAAGACATGGAAACCTTGCAACAAAAGACAATAGAAGCATGGACGGAGATGATACAAACAGATTCAATTTTTTAATTGTTTTAACCTTACATCAATGAACAACTTACCGGAAGATGCTAAAGATGCAGCATATTAATATACAGAGGAGTTTCTGTAATCTTGATGAATATGACAATTGAAATCAAAAATTGCTATGTGTGAATATAATTACTAAGTGTTAAAGCCTCTTTACCTTTGAATTTTTATTTACTTAACTTGCAATGAAAATTCTTATACTATTGATGGAAACGTAATTTGACTTTATGTCCAATACCTCCAAATTTTCTCAATTTTTTTCCTCAATTACAATAAGTCAAAAAATGATGATAAATTTGATGAATTTTTGAAATCGACATTCCCATGTTAACCAATGGGAAATGGTAGGTTTGCTGCAAGTCATATGACAGAATATCCATCCATCCGAGTCCTTGCAAAAAAATACAAGTTAGACAGGCAATTGAATTTGCTAACTTAATTTAACAAAAAATTGATGTTTCTTCAGGTTCAACAAAGCTATAGCACGAGGGGAAAGTGTACCTGTGTATATACAACCTACCGCCGAGCAAAGACCTGAAGATGTCTGAAAATGTAGGGGATAAGTTAATAAACTCCTGTTTTATATTGAATTTCTCAATATGAGAAATAGATAAAACACAGAATTGTTTGTAACCGATATAATTGTTGTTCCAGGCACTCAGGTTTAGAGAATAATGAGTACTTAATGTAATATTTACTATCAAATCGCTAAATTCAACTTCTAAATATTAGAATGATGTTTTACATCTTAATAGATAAGAACTATGGCTGTATTTACTCCATTTGATTCAAAGATACAATAGGTGCAAATATATTACATTTGTTTCATTGCCATACATTGCATATCATTGAAATCACTGGTGAAAGTTGAAAATGAAAGACCCGATTATACCACGAGTCAATTCAATAGGACCCGATGCTACCGCCTGAGTATATTCCAATTATACCGTTAGTAAAACCCGATGAGGTAGTGAGTAAGCTTTCGAATGATCATATAATAACATGAAGTATATCACAAATATTCCTGTTAATATGATATAATTCCCGCAGCACTATACGTCAACGTCTGTGTCACGCGAAGTTCTTTAAAACATTGAATTCATGCTTTCACTCGAATCACCATAATTTTCATTGTTGATGATATCACCACTTCTATCTGACTATGCTCATAATCCAATTAGTTTGGTACGTTTTATTTACCAAGACGGTAAACATATGAAAAATAGTTATGTATTTTGATTGGTCTAAAATGTGCAAAGTTTACCCGTTATGCTCATTCAATCTCAATATTGAATAAAATAAGATATCAGTAGAAAGGCTACTAAAATGAAAAAAAAAATTGACCAGTAGAGATTAGGAACGTGACACATATTCATTTTTATCCATAAAGATGGATAATAATTGATTTAAATGCAATTCATTCGCTCTCAAGTTTGACTAAAATATCAGTACAACGGCTCCTAAAATGAAGAAAGATCATATTCATAATTGATTTAAACGCAATTCCGCGCTTAGATTTTACTCAAGTAATGTTCGGATTCTGAAATCATTTACTCAAGATATTTTCGGATCTTTATAATATTACTCGTCGATCACATAGGGTCCGATGTCCCATAACATTGGATCTTTTAGGACAAAGTTTATGTGAAGATTTTGCTGTTCAAAAGTGCTATTTTGACCTAATATTTTGACACTTAATATATTATACATATGACATACATTTACCGGCCCAAGTATGTCTTATGTATGGCTCATTATCAATTAAAGCAAATATCAATGAGAAAAATAAATCAAAAACCATTATACATTTAACTTATCTCTTAATTTGGACATAACATATATATTTCAACTATAATTCTAGGCCAATTCCACCTGCTGGAACATCTTAGTAACGATTCTAACTATCCAAGGGAATTGATAGAGGTCCAATATTACCTTTATTGTCCATTTTCCTATGAGATGTAGTTAACCAAACTTTTGATAGGCGGTAAATGCGTGTCTTGCTCGGCGGTAGGTATACATGGGTAGACTTTCCCCTCGTGTATAGGGCTTTGAAGTCAAAATTGTTTTTCAAAAAAAACTCTCCCATTGAAATAACACAGGATGCGAAAAATTATTTTCAAAAATGACTTTGAAGCATTGTAACTTTAATTCAAATAAACTAAACACTTAGTGTACAAAAAAGTTAGACAATTCAATTATCTATATAAAAATATTTTTTGCTGAATCTTTTACTGAAAAGATATCCTGATTTCTGATTTTCCCCGAACCCTCCTTTTCCCTTTTCCCATTGGATTAAATGGGAATGACAATTTTCAAAAATTCATCAAATTTATCATCAATTTTTAATCTATTGTAATTGAGGAAAAAATGTGAAAATTTGGAGGTATTCGAAATGAAGTCAAGTTATGTTTCCATTAATATTTAAGTTATTTCATCGCCGGTTAAGTAAACAAAATTTTAAACGCAAAGAGGCTTTAACATGTTATTCAATGGGGGAGCTAAGGTTGCCAAACTTATGGAGGGAAGTGTATGTTTCAGATCATAAAAGAAGAAACTATTGGCATGGTAGTAGCCATAACAATGGAAGACAGACACTGGGAGGGAGTCAAAAGAATTTTTAGTAAATATGAAGAAAGGTCCCCCAACAATAGGATACCACAGAAGGTAAGACAAAATAATATCAATTAAACACTGTTCCATAGCTGGATGATTTTAACTGCAGTTAGCTTCATTCAAGATGGATGCCAAATTCTTTCAATTATAACTTAACTCAGTTGAATCTTGATTCCTAAAGTTTTGCCATGCAAATTAATAAATCAACAATTATATTCAACCACAAATGAATGCCAAAACACCTGCAATATTAAAGTCATTCGAAGTGAAGCCATTTTTTAAATTATCCAATATCGCGTTTGTTTGAGCATCTTTTTGTGCTTACTATCATAACTTTATTAATTTGCAAGGCAAAACATTTTGAATTCAGATTCAACTTAGTTAAGCTGAAATTGTAAATTTATCGAAAACGAAAGAATTTCAGCAACCATCTTGAATGAAGCTAACTGCAGTTAGTCATCCAGCTGTGGCATAGTGATAAAAGATCTAGGGAAACAAATCCAGTAAAGTTGTAAGGTGGAAATATGTTTCCCAGCTTTCCAGAATGGGATCAAGCAAATGCCTTGATGCAATCACCATTTAAAATTCAAAAGGCAAATAAGCTGATTGTCTCTATTTGATAATTTCTGATTAAAGAAATATCGGTTTTCAGTTATTCATAATAATACCATCAAAATCATTTGATGATGTAATTGTAGAGAAGTGTTTGAGCAAAGTTGAAATGAATGAGGCTATTTGTCTAGTAACATAGAGTTGCTAATGACTAATTAAACCCATTTTTCATCAGTTTTTCAGAATGATTACGACAAAGTCTTGGAATCGTATAACAATTAACCAGGCAATCAGCAAAGCTGAATCTGGATCATTGGCTTCGGCCATCCAATGGATAAGCACAAAAACAAAGCAGACGAAATGGATAGAACAATGGGATATGTGCCCAGATATTCTAAAGTGGGAAGAGGCAGTTGCTGCCAATTTTGTACAGCTGTCGGATTTGGATGATTTCTTGGGTGAGATTGAATAACAAATACTGTACTTCTACTTAATTTAGCGCTACTTACAGGTTACAGGGTAATCCAAAAATGTTCACAATTTAGTCACATCATTACTCCTCTAATATGAATGATCAAAGATTTATTTTCACACATGTTCCAAAAAAACTTGTACTTGGTGCAGATGAAAGTGGTGATATTCTTCAGACCATTATAGATGGAAATCAACATATTTCAAATGGTAGAGATGATTACATGGATAATGATGGATATGTCAGTGAACAGAATAGCTGGTTAACAGAACATTTTGGATATAAACCTAAACAGATAGTTGGTGATGGAAATTGTTTTTTCAGGGCGGTGAGTTTTTGTATTTCTAGAACGGAAGAACATCACTTAACTTATAGACTTAAACTGTATTCCTGCTATATTGATGGTTCTATGCAAAAACACATATTGGACATATCTAAACCAGGGATTATGAGTTCTTCATGGGCAACAGAGGTAGATTATATTGCAATGGCAGATATGCTTGAAATGAACATTTATATTTATGGAAAATATGGACATGATTTTAAATGGATGCAACTCGGAAATTACAATGAGAGTGTCTTAATCTGTCTACTTCATAAAAATGATCACTTTGAAGCGCTTAACAGAATTTATCCATGTGATGATGTATCATTTGAGCAGAATTTAGAAATGGATGGGAAATTAAATATTCCGTGTGTAGATTATGTTTCGTCGAAGTGCACTGATATTCCAAAGACAGTCAAAGATCAAGAAACTCAGGATGGTAGTGACGTGATCAGGGTCAAATGTGAAACTGTACATAAGACTGTTATATAAGATACCAATAATTCTGATGAGTGTGGAGCTTCAAAAGAAAAGTCTACATTAAAAACAGTGTTCAACCATTCAAATAAAAAACTTACAAAGGATCAACAGTCATTATTAGAGAAAGGGTTGAAATTTGTACCTAATGACAAAAATATAAATATTTCACAACTTCTAGCTGAAATCAAGGAATGGGAGCAGAACATGCGCTTAAGGGAATATTTCTTTGAAAGGACTAGTATTGATACTACTCTCAACCTGATAATTTCAATGTACTTAAAGAACCACAGACACCAAGTGAGGGTAGGGATCAATGTTTGGATCTCTATATTGACGTAGTTCGTGAACACATTTTGAATGTACTCCATAGAAATAGAAAGAAGAACATAACTACAAGAGAAAGACAAGCCATATATGACTTACTTAATGATGATTCAATTGTGATACGACCAGCTGATAAGGGATCAGGTGTAACAATATAAGACAGAGAAGACTATGAGAAGGACATTTTTAAAGATTGCAAAATGAAAACACATATGAGAAAGTTAATCCAGCGAATATGAAAAAGATGAAATCTCAAGTAAAGAAAACTGCAGAAATTTTACATCTAAATGGATACATTTCTAAAGAGTATAAAAAATACATTACCAATACAAATGAAAATCCAGGAAAAATAACAGGGAATCCCAAAGTACATAAACCAGGTGCCCCTTTAAGAACAATTGTCAATGGGAGAAATACATACACTGTAAATCTAGCTGAACTTGCGGTAAAGTCATTAGAAGAGTCTGTTAAAAAACAAGAATCATATATTCACGATACCCCAGATTTTCTAAAGAAAATAGAAGACCTTATTGATATTCCTCAAGGTGCCATTTTATTTACTATGGATGTCACTAAACTTTATCCCAGTGTTCCTAGAAAAGAGGCCCTTTTAGCTTGTGAAAAGGCGTTGCTTGAGACGCACAATAGTACAACCACAAAAGATATATTAAGAGCAATTGAAACAGTTTTAGACAATAATTACGTAGAATTTAAAGGTAATCTATATCGCCAAGTGAGTGGAACAGCTATAGGATCAAATTTAGGTAAAAATTATGCATGTAAATACATGGGTACATGGGACAAAGAATTGTTAGAAAAATCATCGAAACAACCTACCTATGTTCATGAAGCGTTATATTGATGATATATTTGGTATATGGACAAGAACACTTGAAGAATTAACATAATTTACTGAGGTGGCCAATTCAATTAATCCTAGTATCAAAATTCAAATGTCACATTCCAGTGAAAGTTTGTGCATGAATTTTCTAGACATGAACATTTCAATCAAGAATGGTAGACTCACAACAGACCTTTATACAAAACCTACTGACTCCCATCAATATCTACACAATAGCTCAAATCATCCCTTTCATACAAAGAAATCAGTACCATATGGACTCTGCCTTAGATTAAGACGTATATGTACAGCCAAAGTGGCATATGAAAAGCAGAAAATACAACTTAGATCAGATTGATAAAAAGGGGATACAAAAGACAGTGTATAAATTTCTGTTTTAAAAAGGTAGATTCTCTTTCAAAAGATGAAATTGCAATGAAAATAAAAATAATGTTGTACAAATATGTTTAACTTATGATGATGGTTTGCCCAATATAGGCCAAAAATTGCATAAAAACATGAGAATATTACATAAGTCTGACAAGATGAGAGAGGTTTTTAAAGAGTCACCCAAGGTAACATTCAGAAAAGGTAACAGTATAGGTGACATTTTGGTTAATAGAAAAACAAGTAAAATGTTTCCATGACAATCAAATGGAACATTTAAATATAAAGACGTAAGCAAGAAAAAAGAGTGTGCCTTGTGTAAGTATGTAAATGAATCTGATAGTTTTATGGGAAAATGTGGATCTGTATATAGTACTAGGGGTCATATTAATTGTAAAACAGAGAATGTTGTATATGGTATAAAATGTAAAAAATGTAAAGAAATTAAATATGTTGGTGAAACAGGGACATCTTTATATACTAGATTTAGTAATCATCTGTCGCAAATACGTCATAACAAAGATGAGATATTCCCCAATCATTTCAATAGCAAAGGGCACTCAATAAATGATGTTTCTATAGTTGGTATTGAATTCCTTGGTTCAAAAAATGTACATTTTCGAAAAACTAGGGAAGCTTTCTGGATAAAAAAACTAGGTACCCTAGCCTCTAGTGGTTTAAATATAAATTCAGGAATGTAGAAATATAAAAATGTTTTAATATGGTTTATATGACATTTAAGTCATATTTAATTTTAAAATCTACCTGTCTTATACCAGTATTATATAATAATTAAATTTCTCTATTGTTTATATCTATGATGTCACAATTACAAGATTATTCTAAATTGCTTTATGATGATATTCAGGTGTGGTTTATAATAAGGTTTCTATGGTAATGCAATTTAATGAATTCTTTACCTGTAAAATACTTGTATTACATAATCAGTGGTTTCAGTAACTTTCTGCACAAGGGGCAGATGAAAAAAACAAGAGGCGCCAGACAAATGAACAAGGGCATGGACAGGCTTTGCCAAAAATGATATAAAATTCTGATGTGCATTATATTTCAAAGACAATGTATCTGAAATACAATATTATTGTACAGTCAATCAAAGTTTTAATATTATTACCATTGGTTTCTGTGAGAACTAAAATTTCGAAATGCATTTGCCCTGAACCACTTTCATCCATGAATGAGATTATTGTTTGCTTATTTATCAACCAATGTTCTTAATTTTTGTCGGCAAAAAAACAAGTGAAGATGAATGCTATGCATCGGTGTTAATTATGTGTTAGTGTAACCTCTTAAAGTTAGTTTTTAATAAATTCACGATATTTTGAACAAACGGTTCTTCAAAAAAAACATTTTTGAAATGAATAAAAAGTTTCACACTTTGAATCCTATTAAGAGGTGATTTAAAAGTTGTCCAGGATTTTAATTACTTTTTGCAGGTTTGTCAAAGTCATTTCCGAATGTGATATTGGGTCAATTGGATTGACCACAAGACTTGAGCTACACAAATGACACCTTGAACTGTGGAATGACTATGCCAACTTATATAAAATGTCATTTACCTTTAATGAGATAACTCACCTCATAAAAGGTACAGTCCCATGTACATATATAATTTACATCGAAAGTTTAAGGTATCTGCTGACTTTACAGTCCCAATGTAGAGTTTGAAAACATGTTTTTTTCATATATTTACTATTAATCATGACTTAAAAATGAATTAAAGAAATTTTTGAAAATATGTTTTTGAAATGAAAGTTGTCAGCTTTTCATGTCTTAAATTCCAAGTTTCCCGCCATTTTTCAAATAAAGTTGAACTTTTTTAATCATCAACTATTTTACTATAAAGTGCAAGAAAGTATTATCTTCTTACAGCAATATAAAGATTGAACAAATGACACACTATTTCAATAATAAAATGTCATATCTGATGTGCCAATCCAATGTTTTAGCATATCGAAAATATTTTTGAACCCTAGTGACCTCATCGTGACATTTAGGCGGCAACATTTCTCCATGTCTATCTTTTTCTATGCTAAACTAAAAAATAAACCAATGTTGACTGTCTAACCAGGTTAATATTATAAAGGACAGAAGACTTTTAATTTCCCCAAAACTTTGACAATATTTGACTCCTGACAAACGGCGATTTAGGGCGCTCGCCCCCTGCTATTGAAAGCCCAGATAATGGTCTATTTGTTCTATTGTTTTAGTCTATGATGTCATAATTATAGCAACTATTTTCAGTTGCTTGAAAAAGATTTACAGAATAAATCGAAATATTGCAAAACAAAATCAAATTGTTGGATTAAATGGGAATGACAATTTTAAAAAATTCATCAAATTTATCATCAATTTTCAATCTATTGAAAATTTGGAGATATTCGAAATGAAGTCAAGTTATGTTTCCATTAATATTTAAGTTATTTCATCGCTGGTTAAGTAAACAAAAATTTAAACGTAAAGAGGCTTTAACATGTTGTCCAATGGGGGAGCTTATAAGGTTGCCAAACTTATGGAGGTAAGCGTATTTTTCAGATCATAAAAGAAGAAACTATTGGCATGGTAGTACCCAAAACTATGGAAGACAGACACTGGGAGGGAGTTAAAAGAA